TGTTATACGACCTATTCTTAGGACAATGAAATTTCCTGTGTTGATAAATTGCCTCTATATAGCATCAAAAGAACATCACTTTGTTTTATAAGTGTTTTCTGCACGCATTGAAACACATATCATTTTTAGCTCACCTGAGCATATGCTCAGGGTGAGCTATTAGGATCACTCTTCGTCCGTCGTCTGTCGTCCGTTGTCCGTCGTACGTCGTCCGTTGTCCGTTCACACTTTTCAAACGACATCTCCTCTGAAACCATAAGGCAGATCATAATGAAACTTCACAGGGATGTTCCTTGTGTGAAGCCTTAACAAAGTTGTTCAAAGAATTCCATTCCATGCAGAACTCTGGTTGCCATGGCAACCAAAAGAAAAAACTTTAAAAAATCTTCTTCTAGAAAACCCAAAGAGCTAGAGCTTAGATATTTGGCATGAAACATCTTCTAGTGAGTGTCTACCAAGATTCTTCAAATAAAAGCCCTGGGGTCAAAATTGGCCCCGCCCCAGGGGGTCATTGATATTCCCTATATGCATATAGTAAAAACTTAAAAAAATCGTCTTTTAAAGAACCCAAAGAGCTAGACCTAAGATATTAAGCATGAAACATCTTCTAATGAGTGTCTACCAAGATTGTTCAAATCAAAGCCCTGGGGTCAAAATTGGCCCCGCCCCAGGGGGTCATTGATTTTCCCTATATGCATATAGTAAAAACTTAAAAATATCTTCTTCTAAAAAACCTAAAGAGCTAGAGCTTAGATATTTGGCATGAAACATGTTCTAATGGATGTCTACCAAGATTGTTCAAATAAAAGCCCTGGGGTCAAAATTGGCCCCACCCCAGGGGGTCATTGATTTTCCCGATATGCATATAGTAAACACTTTAAAAAATCTTCTTTTAAAGAACCCAAAGAGCTAGACCTAAGATATTAAGCATGAAACATCTTCTAATGAGTGTCTACCAAGATTGTTTAAATAAAAGCCCTGGGGTCAAAATTGGCCCCGCCCCAGGGGGTCATTGATTTTCCCTATATGCATATAGTAAAAACGTAAAAAAATCTTCTTCTAAAAAACCTAAAGAGCTAGAGCTAAGATATTTGGCATGAGACATGTTCTAATGGATATCTACCAAGTTTGTTCAAATAAAAGCCCTTGGGTCAAAATTGGCCCCGCCCCAGGGGGTCACTGATTTTCCCGATATGCATATAGTAAAAACGTAAAAAAATCTTCTTTTAAAGAACCCAAAGAGCTAGACCTAAGATATTAAGCATGAAACATCTTCTTATGAGTGTCTACCAAGATTGTTCAAATAAAAGCCCAGGGGTCAAAATTGGCCCCGCCCCAGGGGGTCATTGATTTAGTATATAGTAAAAACTTAAAAAAATCTTCTTCTAAAAAACCTAAAGAGCTGGAGCTTAGATATTTGGCATGAAACATGTTCTAATGGATGTCTACCAGTTTGTTCAAATAAAAGCCCTGGGGTCAAAATTGGCCCCACCCCAGGGGGTCATTGATTTTCCCTATATGCATATAGTAAACACTTTAAAAAATCTTCTTTTAAAGAACCCAAAGAGCTAGACCTAAGATATTAAGCATGAAACATCTTCTAATGAGTGTCTACCAAGATTGTTCAAATAAAAGCCCTGGGGTCAAAATTGGCCCCGTCCCAGGGGGTCATTGAATATCCCTATATGCATATAGTAAAAACTTTAAAAAATCTTTTTCTAAAAAACCGAAAGAGCTAGAGCTTAGATATTTGGCATGAAAGATGTTCTAATGGATGTCTACCAAGTTTGTTCAAATAAAAGCCCTGGAGTCAAAATTGGCCCAGCCCCAGGGGGTCATTGATTTTCCCGATATGCATATAGTAAAAACTTAAAAAAATTCTGTTAAAGAACCCAAAGAGCTAGAGCTAAGATATTAAGCATGAAACATCTTCTAATCAGTGTCTACCAAGTTTGTTCAAATCAAAGCCCTGGGGTCAAAATTGGCCCCGCCCCAGGGGGTTCATTGATTTTCCCTATATGCATATAGTAAAAACTTAAAAAAAAATCTGTTAAAGAACCCAAAGAGCTAGAGCTAAGATATTTAGCATGAAACATCTTCTAATGAGTGTCTACAAAGATTGTTCAAATAAAAGCCCTGGGGTCAAAATTGGCCCAGCCCCAGGGGTCATTGATTTTTCCTATATACATATAGTAAAAACTTAAAAATCTTCTTTTAAAGAACCCAAAGAGCTAGAGCTAAAATATTTAGCATGACACATCTTCTAATGGGTGTCTACCAAATTTGTTCAAATAAAAGCCCTTGGGTCAAAATTGGCCCCGCCCCAGGGGTCATTGATTTTCCCTATATATATACATAGAGTAAAAACTTAATAATCTTCTATTAAAGAACCCAAAGAGCTAGAGCTAAGATATTTAGCATGAAACATGTTCTAATGGATGTTTACCAAGTTTGTTGAAATAAAAGCCCTTGGGTCAAAATTGGCCCCGCCCTAGGGGGTCATTGATTTTCCCTATATCGCATATAGTAATTAAAAACTTAAAATCTTCTTTTAAAGAACCCAAAGAGCTAGAGCTAAGATATTTAGCATGAAACATGTTCTAATGGGTGTCTACAAAGTTTGTTCAAATAAAAGCCTTTGGGTTAAAATTGGCCCTGCCAGGGGGAGGGGGGAGGGGGGGGGGGCAAAAGTCATTGTTTTTCATTATTTGTGTATAGTAAAAACTTAACATCATGAAACATCGTCTAATGGGTGTCTTCCAAGTTTGTTCAAATAAAAGCCCTTTGGTTTAAACTAGCCCCGCCCTGGGGGCCTATGTACAGGTGAGCGACCCCAGGGCCATCATGGCCCTCTTGATTTAATTGATAAGTTGTAACAGTTGATTCATCATTTATGTGACCTAACTTCAAAATACGAAATGAAATAAGTGGGAAAAATGTGTTTACTTTGCAAAACTGGATTTTAACAAGATAATTAACAAAATAATTTCCATTTCTGTTTGATATTTATGTTAGAAAAATAACTTTCAAATGAGAAAACATTTTAATTATTGCTCTCTTTCACGCTTTAATTATTTTAATAGTAGTTCATCATCATTTAATGATATGTCACTTATTCAAACGTTGAAAGAAGTAGCGGAAAATTAAATGCAATACTGAATCTTATTTTTTTTCCTTTTCTAATTTGCATCATTTCAAATGTATCTAGAATGTTTGTCCTAAAAAAACATGAGTTTTTTTTATGACTTTGAACTTGTTTTCAGTGTATCACGTTGGCTTTCACGTGGAATATTTTAAAAATAACTCATGAGAAAAACAACAACAACAACACACATGACATTGTATCCACACCTGTCTCTCAAATAGCGACAGTAAGACCGGTGTACACAAAACAACATCACTGGCCGTAAATTAGGACATCAGCTGGATCCAATGTTAAAAGGAACCTCAGATTTCAGGTATTTGATAGGTGAAAAACCGGCACATAATATGCACTGACCAATGAAGAACTCGAAATCCGGGACATATCTCAGACGCTTGGGGGTCAGATCCTGCCCCCCCCCCCCCCCCCCCAACGTGATACGCCCCTGTTAACACTCTACCAAAACTATTTTAATATTTAAACACGAATGGACATCTATTACAACGATAAAAATGGTTTTCAAACATTTTTTACATATATGAAAAAAATACCGTATATCATCAAGTCACTTTATTGAGACTTGATGGTATACGGTATTTTTTTCATATATGTAAAAAATGTTTGAAAACCATTTTTATCGTTGTAATAGATGTTGTTCGTGTTTAAATATTAAAATAGTTTTGGTAGAGTGTTAACAGGGGCGTATCACGTTGGGGGCAGGATCTGACCCCCAAGCGTCTGTGGGACATATCTCAGAAAGAAAGTTTAATACCTTCGGGCTGGTATATATAGATAAACTCATAACCTAGTGCGGCTATAGAACCACGTGGAAGCTCTACAACTTCTATAATATGCTATAATTCTGAAAATAAGTGAAGTTGCTCTAAATTTGGTCATTTATATGGACAATATAAAAACAAAGAAAAATATAAAGAGCTTTGATATATATATATATATATATATATATATATATATATATATATATATATATATATATATATATATATATATATATATATATATATATATATATATATATATATTATATATATATATATATATATATATATATATATATATATTCTAAAGAATGCTAATATGTTTTCCATTTAATCTTGAGTATATAAGCAAACCAAAATTCTTGCTGAAACATATTTTATTAGTATTAGCAGTACCAGTAGTAGTAGTAGTAGTAGTAGTAGTAGTTGTAGTTGTAGTAGTAGTAGTGGTCGTAGTAGTAGTAGTGGTAGTGGTAGTAGTAGTAGTAGTGGTAGTGGTAGTAGTAGTAGTGGTAGTAGTAGTAGTAGTAGTAGTAGTAGTAGTGGTTGTAGTAGTAGTGGTAGTGGTAGTAGTAATAGTGGTCGTAGTAGTAGTAGTGGTGGTAGTAGTAGTAGTAGTAGTGGTCGTAGTATTAGTAGTGGTAGTGGTAGTAGTAGTAGTAATAGTGGTAGTGGTAGTAGTAGTAGTGGTGGTCGTAGTGGTAGTAATGGTAGTAGTAGCAGTGGTGGTACTGGTAGTGGTAGTAGTAGTAGGGGTAGTGGTGGTAGTGGTCGTAGAAGTAGTAATAGTAGTAGTGGTAGTAGTGGCAGTAGTAGTGGTAGTAGTTGTGGTGGTATTAGTGGTAGTGGTAGTAGTGGTAGTAATTGTAGTGGTGGTAGTGGTAGTGGTAGTAATAGTGGTTGTAATGGTAGTTGCAGTAATAGTGGTAGTGGTAGTAGAAGTAGTAGTAGTAGTGGTAGTTATAGTAGTAGTTTATACTCTCCATAACACAAAATGACACATTCATGTTAGAAAAAAATTATGTTAATGCAATGCTGAAAAGAATACAAGATAATGTCAATGAAAGTATATTTAAAAAAAATAGTCGATTAAATAAGTGATACGTAATTTACCAAACTGGTATGTATACACGTCTTTAAATGAAAAGAAATAAGTAGCAAGCTAGCAAAATGTAGGAAGTCATAGAGAGAGGAGATTCATGTTGACATCCTGACGTCTTCCCCTCAGCCTTCTTCTCCTGCTGATGCATAAAGGCGAAGGTCAAATTAGTTGTTATAAAGTTCATTCCGGAGTTTAATGAGATGCTGAACTTTTCTGTCGCCATTGTACCATCACCTTTTGCGTTACACTTAATCAATGAATTGTAGATATATTGACCATTGCTTTCACGATCTCCGAATCGACAGATAATTCGCTGGCAAATGGATCTTTGGAAATTCCTGCCAAAAACTCGAACTGCAGTAAACCCAGTTGTTGCTCCTTCGTTAGGGAAAATGCTATGGATGGCGGGCTCCGTTGTTGAAGTAAAATCTCTGCTGCATGCCTCTGTTCTCATCTCTGTTATAAACGTATTCCATGTTTGATTATATTTAACTTCTGCAGAACTTTTCTCGTCTGATGTCATTGTGCTATAACGTAAAGAATTCAAAGCAAGCGTGCGAAGATCTGACAGTCGTAAGCCCCATGCCATGAATGCCTCATACCAGTCAACAGTAAATTCATCATAACCCATCGTACCTGGATCATCAGCTCCGAGAACAACTGGAATTCCATACCGTATATACGTCACAGCTGGGTGTTGACGTTGGTCAGTGACGTAACCGAGTAGCATATTGCTCACGGGATTTACCTCTACAGCAATTTTTCTGTCTTTAAGAAGCTGCATAAGGTAAGGATGCTTTATAAACCCAAGACCATGTCCTACACGTTTGGCCCCAAGAATGATTGCTTCATATACATTGTCAAGGGTACTTACTGGATCAAGAGGATGCAGTGACGTCATCAAGTCCTTTGGCCAATTGGTTTCAGCATTATGAAGGTAAAGTGGGACCAATTCCTTTCTAGCATACATATCTGCAAATTCGTCTATAAAAAACAAAAGTGAATAGCCCGCGTCCTCCTCTGCAATTAAGTCTATTCCCTTAACCATGTTGGGAAATTTCTTTCTCAGTCGAAAAGCCCTTTTCAAGTTTTTGTCCATTGCATCTGGATTTGACTTTCTCCATCCGCTAATTATTTCTTTATAACCAATAAACGCTGGATTTTTGCTTTGGAATTTATTCACTTCTTCTGTTGCTGTTCGAAACCAAATATCCCCATCTTCATTATCAACCATCTGATGACCATCTTTAGCGGAATCATTTAATACATACATTCCAAGACCGCTAACTCTAGCTTCCAAATATTGCACGTTCTCTTCAAGAGCTGATTCGAACATGGCTTGAAGATGCATGCGAGTGTAGTTCTGATATAAGACAAGGTTCGTTCCTGCCATTCCAAACATTGGACCAAGGTCTTTCCATCGTAAACCACTGTCGGTCGGGTTTGCTATAGATTCAGGGCTCAATGTGTTGATCATTGTGATGTGTTTAAGAAGGTTTTCTTTTGAATAAAGCGCCAGATTACTTGTTACCTTTACCCAACCAGCCGGAGCAGTATTATAAAAGCCAAGTCTCCATTTCTTGTAGGAATCTTCAACATTAACGCAAAGTGTGTGAATTAAAGGTGAGTTGAAAATAAGGTCCAGCATTTTCTTTTTAGAAATCACGTGATCTGAAATGAATATCGGAGAAAAAATGTTTTTAGACAGTGTGCACAATGATATTTTTCTAGGCGAGCATAATCATAAAATGTTCTACAATGGGGAACATTTACGTTTGTAATTATTGTTAATTAAAGACAAAATAAAGGAACACTAGAGAATGGTACTACATGTACGCTTGCTATAATTAATAAATACTTCAGTTATTTCAGTTACATTCAACTGAAGAACAATAGAAATTATTATTACATAACAATGCATAGACGGGTTTGATTTTCAGAAAAGAGTCTAACAGCATTTTTTAGTACAAGCAGGTAGTAAACTCTTTTTACATAATTCAGGTACACTGAATCCATTTTTTTACTCTACCACGTCTGTTCTCGAAGTCCTTGACCTTCTAAAGGTCAAATAAAAATGGCCGCCATTGAGCTTTACTAATTACTGCATAGTTTCTTTTTCTGGTTCTTAGCGAAATGCATTTCCGTTAAACCACACGCAATAAAGTTTCAGAGTCTTCTATGAATGATTGGCTGATAATTAAACATGATTTACTTATTGACTACAATATTTGCCATCTTTGATTTCAACATGGATACCCTTTTCTAAACAAATATAAGTGAAGTTCTTTTAAAGATCCTGTATTTTGTAATTGAGGTTGTTAACATTTGTGTGTATTTGTGTTTATTTATACTCGCCACCGGTTGCCCATATGTGCGAGTCCTCCAGAAGAGTATAAGTCATTTTAGATATTTGGAGGATAGTGCAAGATACAAATACAGAAAGATGCCCCATTTCCAGAAGCTTCTACGTTCTTTAACGTGTCAAGTGTTAATGCACTCATACACGGGACCTCGATTTAAAGTGACATTATGCCCATCCAAGGATATATAGTGAGTGAACGGGTGAAGATCAAAATAAGTTTTCATTTTGTCATTATTCCCTTTTATTTTATAATTAAGTTCACCATAAACAATAAATAACTCACATTACCAAATGAAATTTCAGTAAATATGCATTAGAATTTACATATAACGCTTAGTTTATAAAAAGAGTGGGGCAGTCTTTTTATATTTTAGGGAGATTTATAATTTTATCCTGAACATTTTCCAATATAAACTGTTGGTTAAACACCATTTTGACAGCCAATCTTTTGAAATATAAAAGCAATTCAGCTCTTCTTGACTATGAAAATATGAGCAAAATGTCACTTTAAAGTCTCATCCGAAAGACTGATTAGTAATTTTAGTTGGCCAGCCCGGGAATCGAACCACAATGTCGAAATTACAAGTCTCGCGCTGTAACCGATTGAGCTATGCGGGTTGTTACCACACTTGTGTGTGTTTGCGTTTGTTTACCCTCGCCACCGGAAAGAGACCATATGGGCGAGCACTTAAAAAAGTGAAATTTTATATATGTATATAATTATGCTTATAAAACAATTTTCAAACATCGAATTATATGTAAAATATAAAATATGCAATATTTGTGCACATTATATGTAATCATTAAAATATATGCATTTATTTCTTATTGAAAAGTTTGACTTAGACTTTATAGAAAATAAATTTCTAATTACCTCCATTTATTAACATGAAATGTTAAATTCGGTAATATTTTTATAAATAATGCTTTTTGGAACTTACAATATTGATAAATCTTAATTTGAGCATCATATTTATGATATAAAACTATAAGAATTTGTGTTACAGGATCTTTAAACAAAAGGTTCTTTATCAAAAAAATGATAATGATGATATAAGCATTATGTCATGTAGAATTGTACATATTGTGTAGATATACTGTATTTCATCATGCCCTCAAACTATTTCAGGTCATTCTTTATGGGCAATTAATCAATGTCAGGTATCTGAGATGCCAAATGCCTAACAAAATCTGAACAATCTAATTAACCATTAGATGTTTTAGTCTTTGATGTTGATAGAATAGCATGTGTGTAAACATTTATGGACACTTAATCATTTTATAATTTTAATGTCAAAAGTCAAGTTCAGAATGCATTTGTTGTAATTGCCTTTCATCTTCACGGGCCAGAGACTATGTCTGTGTCCGCATGCCATTGCAACAACACTGAACAACACGGTTCAAATAGAAAAAAAACAGAATGCCCAAAACGGCAAAATTGAAAATGTTGCAGGTTCATAGCTCAGGCGTAAAAAGATTCCAACATTTAAACATGGAAATTATGAAATTTGGAATTTAAAACCATCCGCAAATGTGTTTACACATACTTTCTGTCAACCTGAGCCAACAGTAAAACATAATTTCGGTTTTTTGTTACCTTTTATATGTATTATTTTTGTTTATAAAATGTCGTATTTATTTCAGTGAATAACTCTAAACAAGCCTAGATTTATGCACCTGCATGGTTTAAAATCATACTAGTAAACTTAAATAAATGAAAATGTCATTTTAAGCTTTATTATGTTTCACTTTGGGAAAAATGACTCATAAACAGCGGTTTTTATTGTTGAACCATAAACAGCCTACGGACTTGTAATGTCTTACGATAAATACAGAGTAAAATATTATAGGTCTACCGCGGGTATTCATGTCATTACCTTTTCATATTACACATTATCACAAAATTATTGTCGTTCCAGGAACACCGTGTATATCCAGTAACGCAGGAATGTGCAAGTAACGCAGGAATTGTGCACAAGTAACGCAGAATTGTGCAATATAGTGGCTAAAACGAGATAAGTAAACGTACCAATATTTTTTAGAGTACATCAAATTGGAAGAAATCAATTAGCGCATACGGTTGCTGAGACATTATACTTTAAACCTCATCAAAAATATATCCATGAAAATATTTATTTTTCAAAATCATTCGTGAAAATGACGACCTGACTAGCGTATTAATGGCGATCTTTAGTTTCGTTGATATATTTAAATACAATAACGTACATATTACTTTATGAATTTTTGTATTCGGTGTACCTGAAACGTTTTCCAATCTACTTGTGTCATATTACACTTAATTTAGCAGATAAAACGTTATTGAGACCATTTTACGAGGTAACGTCGAATTAGTGAATGAAGCACTGAAACAACGGCGGTTATTTCATTAAAAGTAGCTAAATTTTATTTTACCAGCTTCCTTCCATTGTTGTAGGTCACTTGTAGTTTGTCAAATGTCTTAGGTATACAGAATATGAAATCAAACACAATGTTTTAAATGCGTTAAATGTACATATTTATTTGACGAAACACAAGTCACCTTCAAAACGGTAATCAGGTTGTATATCTCACGTATGATCTAAAGAAGTAAACATATTACAGAAAAAATTGTAATGCTGGTTAAAGTATAATGTGGTAGCAGCCGTATGCGCTAATGTATTTCTTTAAATTTGATTTAGAATATCAATAAATATTTGGTTTGTTTGCTTACTGTATTATTCGTTTTGGCAATAGCATTGCACATATTCGGCGTGACTTTTCCGTTATTTGCACATTCCTGCGTTACCTATAACTATATATATATGCCTTTTTAAGGTTGGGCGTATACGGAATTAATCTCAATGCCAACTTGGAAACCATCAAATATACATAAAGTATGAAAATAACACCAAAATGACAAACGCAAATATGATTCTCATTTAATTTGGTATAAATTGTAACCTTTTTGGACCATTAAGTTTGTAGTTTTAATGGAGGTTTCTCTAAGTTTGCCCTGGTAAGTCTTAATAAGTATCACTGCACTTATAGAAAACAACAACCACAACAGACCATGCATAGGTAGAAAAATGAATGTATAGTATGTATTTTTTAGAATAAGACAACTCATATACTTTCGACAGACACTCAACAATTTGTTTAAACATATACGTATATTGCATCATTCGTTCGTTCATTCGTTCATTCATTTATTCATTCATTCATATGAATATCAAGATATGTTTTGTATCTTTCTTTAAAACATTTAAGGTTATTAACATTACGAATATTTAAAGGTATATTGTTTCAAATGTTCATGTCATAATAAGAAAATGTGTCTTTGATATAATTTGTTTTATCGTGACCTAGATATTAAGTTAAGTATTTTGTTGTCGGATAAAGTCATCATTTATCTTTTATAATAAAAGAAATTTAAATCAAAAAAATTTCCGACATTGTCGGAAAAAGTCATCTTTTATTTATTATTATAAAAGAAAACAAGCTAAGTAAAAAGCCTTATTTCGCGTGTTTACGTTAAATATTAAACAAAGGAAATTGTCAGCCATTTTTAAATCCAAGATGGCTGCCGCATTACATTTATCTTTTTTTTCCTCATTTATTCATCTCGTTCACACTTCAGCCGACTAAAATAAGTAAAACTTTCAATTAAATTTCAAAAAGATGTGTTTTATTTGCTTATAGGAGCATTAAAGTAAAAAATAAAAACAATGGCGGCCATTTTGAATTGATTTTTAAAAGATCAAGGACTAAAAATAAAGCCGTGGAAGAGCAAAAATATGAATTCAGCGTACTCGAAATAGGCAAACAAGCCCAACTACCTGCTTGTACAAAAAATGCCGTTAGGATGAACATTTTCCCAAAATCAAACCTGTCTAGCATCTTTTACGACTCCAGTGGTCTCGCACGTTGTGCATATATTTTGACGTGACGTTATTTGTGTTATACGTAGGTGCATCAGAGAAAAAAGGTTACTTGTAAAGTTATTATTTAAACAGTTCTTTTTCGGTTTGTGAGGAAAAGACTTTTATGCTCGCCAGAGGATCGTATTATTCACACTCATTCAATATCTGCTATTTATTGTTTTTTGTGTACGTTTTCTTGATTAAATGCCAAAATACAACAGAAATTTTTTTTCTATAAAACATTACTCAAATATTTTTTTGTTAACGTACTTTGATGTATATGCATATTACCGCCCTTTGGAAATTTCTTTAAAACTTCGTAAACCTTGGACCCTTTTATTTCTTGAAGGTAATCCTGGACCGGACGTGCAGGGCGGAATGCATCTTTCGTTGCTTGAAACTCCTCCCATTTTAGATATTCCAGATAGTTGTCCACGATTGTTTCATTCTGTTTAAGAGATATATAAATATAGTAATACAATAAGATATTTATGAATTTCAAACAAAATAATATTAAGAAAATAAAAGAGCTAATGTATCTCAAGCTAAATTATCCACTGTGGATGTTATTTTTGTGATATCTTGACAATCAAAATTTATGATAAGAATATGATATAATGTATATATTTGCTTATTTTTTATGATTATCTGCCTACCTGTCAGTCTAATCAATTAACTTAAAATCTCAGGTTTAATTAATATCTTTAAATCTTAAGCGGTGCTACTAATGACTTATTTACATATTATATTTTTACCATCACAATGACAGACAAAACTGCATTTTTACGCAGTCATGTACTGTGTCCTATGCCCGGTCTCTACCTTTCGTTGTTGCTTTGTTATAGAATGTCTTAAAAATGAATATGTCCAAATTAAAAAGTACAAAATTGAACGACGCTTAGGGAGGCAATGTTTACATTACTTTAAGATAGCATATGTAGATTGTATTAAGAATAAGCATTTTTAACTTCGTAGACAAAATGTTTGCCCTTTCCACCGAGCCACAGAGTGACGTACAAATACGTAAAGATTGAAAATTCCCATTTTCTTTTAAATGTTTTGAATAATCAATGTTATATGATGCTTATAAACCTCGTCGAAATCAATATACAATTATAAGATAAAAACATAGATAAAAATACAATAAGAACAATGCATAGCCATATACGAGACTGCTCTTTCTCTTTTTTTTCTTCTCTCATTTTTTTTCTATTTCATTTATTTTTTTTGTTTTGTTTTGACAGATCATGTCCAATTCTTTTATCTTCACTGACTTAAGTTGGCGATTATTATTATATCAACATGTTTTTTTTATGTGCATAGAATGTGTGTGTGTTTTGTTAGATGAGATGGGAGAGATAAAATTTCAGTTAAAATTAAAGTTGAGGAAAAAAGTTAAAAACAATTATCCTCTACTAACTAATAACATAATGCGTATTTCTAATGATCGCGTAATAATGGAGCTTATTGTTATATCAAATCAATTTACCTATTGTGTTTGTTTAAAAGCCATACAGATCAACTTTAAAGATATTTTCCTGAAATATCTCATGTTTAGGTATGTTGAAATAAAAAGAAGGAAAAAAGTTAATTGTCTTGATTACAATAGAGATATCTGGTTATGTTTTGTTTTTTTCTAATGTTTAATAACTTTTAAATTATTTAAGGCAGTGTACACTTTAGACTTTAATCAAATTTAATACTTAAAAATAGATAAAGATAATATAAGATGTATTATATTTGAATGACATTTTAACGGCGATTCATGTTTTCTTTGTTTTGTTGTTGGTGGTGGTGGTGTTTTTTTTTCCACTTAAAATTTGCCGTTACGTCTATACTCTTTACGATGACAACAGCGTACAAAAATAATTAGCTTTCTTGATAAATAAATTAATAAAGTTACGAGTAAGATACGATCGTTATTAGGCAGTGACCACCGTTTCTGTAGTTCTTTGAGAATTTAATAAGCCGAGCCAGTGACAATGTTCTGCGATATATCTTTGCGTTGACTTGTTCTTTTGATTGAATCATAATGTAAATAAATGCTTACTTTTGAAAGTGATTTTTGGTACCCACACAGTTCCGTTTCTTTTTCTTCCAGTTCGTTCCTCTGCACAGAAAACTTGTATTTAAAATATTCTTTCGTTTCTGTACTTTCCTTGCCTAATATTTCCAAAGGTAACGTCATAAAAACAACACACGATATGTGCAAAATACTATAACTAAACATTGCGACCATTTTGACCTTCATAACTTTTCTGAAACTATTTCTATCAAACTATTTACCATGTTTGAAGGTCAAAAGCGTCAGATTTCCTAAAATTATACTCTTTTTCTCGCAGTTAAGTGCTAATATAATAGATTTTCATACACCCTTATATGTGCGATTGACTACTCGATTGTGTTACCACAATGGTCTAGGAAATTTGTATAGATTACCCGTGTTATGTAACATTAAACGAGTTAAAAATAACTTTAAGTTATTGACTTTACTTTTTCTATATTTATATAATTTCGGTTCTTTTAATGAACATAATTGAATTTTTGACGATTTGCTTTCATTTATTCACCAAATCCTTTAAAGATGTAATTTCGTTTCTTTTAAAGTACATACATTTATTTAATTTAAAATAGGGATCGAAAATTCCAATCAGTTAGAGGTGGAAACAATGTAAAGGTGGTCGAAGATTCAATTAAGGGGTCGTTCAAGTTCATCCAAAGATCGGTATGGGTTGAAAGTCTTACTTACTGGGCCGCCGCGTTTTTTATGCAAACTGCCAACATGAGTCATAAAATTGCCATATTTCAGCTGAAAATAAATCAGCTAAATAGTAGCAATAACACACTTGCAATACAATAGAAATAGGAAAAATATATATACATGAACATTTAAAAGAAGAACTAATATCATTATTGTATATAATGTCCGCTATATTAAAGTTGTAGGCCGGCATGGGTAGAGAGATTAAACATTGCAGCTGTTGGTTTCTTAAATCTTTTTACTAACAAGTAGAGGTTTTGATGCTAAAGCATCAAGTCGCCAGATAAAAAAATGATTGTATTATCATGATACATATAAAAAAATCAGTTTAATGGTTCAAGTATAAAGAAAAGAGGAACAATATGTTGACTCTATTGAGTGATATTTATTCATAATAAAACATCTAAAGCAAACTTGCTAAGCAATATTGTCAAGAAACTGTTTTCATAATTAAATAAGGAAGTATTGACTGAGACTTATTAATTTTCGGAAGGCGTTTCGTCAGTTTCCGTAACTTATTATGATTAATGTCAAAGATTCTAGTGTACAGTTTGACAGAAAGGGCCAAGTTTAACCCTTTACAAAGAAAATAGGGAAAGGTTTTGAAAATCTATTTTTAATGTGTAAAATATGAGTATACAGACCTTTCAAATGATATAAATAAAAAAAAATATATATTCTGTGCACAGTTTAAACTACGTTAAAGCTAGCTAGAGTTATTAAAGGCCTTAGGATCATTCAACAGATTTTATAAAAAATTAATATATCACCATAAAGCTGATCACTGGGGCTTGGTCCCTTGAAATCTGTGACCTCTCTATGTGCTCTGTAAAACCATGAACGTATCCCTCACATCAATACCTTACGTTGGGCGCCATTGTCGCGGGTCAGCTCAACCAGGTTGGCAGTATCAGTTGGAATATATATGTTATTGTTGCATATATATGAACTAAATAATAAATATACAAAAGTATATGAAACATGTAGTATTGATAAGGACGCATAATAAGTTAAACGAAACAAATGTTAACTTCAACCTGACTCGAAACAAATGACTACAGCAAAAAAACTTATCACATAAGAGACTTAACAAGCGCTTATATAAAATGCGAGGCTAAACAAACTCTAACTTCAATTGTGAATCTAAACAAACGCTAACATCAAATATGAGTCTAAATTAACAAACACTAACGTCAAATGTGAGTCTAAATTAACAAACACTAACGTCAAATGTGAGTGTAAACAAACACTAACATCAAAAGTGAGTCTAAAGAAACGCGAAAGTCAAATGTGATTCTAAAGAAACGCTAAAGTCAAATGTGATTCTAAAGAAACGCTAAAGTCAAATGTGATTCTAAACACACGCTCACATCAAATGTGAGTCTAAACAAACGCTAACAATAAATTTGAGTCTTAATTAATACACGTTAACGTCAAATGTGAGACTAAACAAACGCTAAAATCAAATGTACGTGAGTCCTAACACTATTGCATCAAATGTGAGTCAAAACAAACCTTTACATCAAATATGAGTCTAAAAAACGCTTATATCAAATATGAGTCTGAACAAAAGCTAACATCAAATGTGAGTCTAAACAAATGCTTATATATATCAAAAGTGAGTCTAAAAACGCTTACATCAAATGTGTTTCTAAACAAACGCTAACATCAAATGTGAGTCCAAACAAACGCTAACATCAAACATGAGTCTAAACACACGCTTACACCAAATGTAAGTCTAAACGAACGCTAACATCAAATGTGTTTCTAAACACACGCTTAGACATCAAATTTTGGGTCTAAACACACGCTCACGTCAAATATGAGTCTGTACAAACGCTTACATAAAAAATGTATCTATAAAGACACGCTAACATCAAATGTGTGTCTCAACAAACGCTTAAGTTAAATATGCGCCTTAACAAATTTTAAGCTAAAATCAAATATGTGTTTTAACACACGCTAACAAAAAGTATATGAGTCAAGTTAATGAAACGCTAACATCAAAGGTATAAGTCTAAACATAATTTATATTACGCTAACATCTTGAATGTGTACGTATATAAAGATACATAATGTATGTTAACGTCAAATGTGAGTGTAAACAAAACCTAACATCAAATATATGAGTCTAAATTAACAAACCCTGATAACAGTCAGACCAATGAAATTTAGGTCTTAACAGACCCTCACAACAAATATGAGTCTAAACAAACTCTAGGTTATATCATATGTGTATCTAAAACAAACGCAAACATCAAATGTGAGTAAAAAAAACACGATAACAACAAATGCGAATATAAAAAATGAAAGAACAAAACAACAGAAAAAAATCAAACACTCACACAAAAATACAGAGCATTTTTACTGGATTAATTTTAAAAAAGTACCTAACTACATGTGCATATACATACCCAGCCAGCAGGATAGATCTGTGACTTGAGATAGTCATTTTAGTCCCAGGATAACATTTTTATTGAAAGATGATATTTCAATGTTATTTTTTTTTGAGTTTTAAAAGATAATATTATTTTTGTATAATTCTTTGGGGGATGTGGTTGTAGAGGGGTTGGGGTACTAGTAAATGACGTGGTTATGCAATGTACACCAATCGTCACTAAAGTGGGGCGAGTCAATATGGAGCGAATCGTCAGAAGGGCGAATTGTTTTAGTACTACTAGAATCAAACGTCTGAATGATATAGACGAAAAAAAAAGATATTTTCAATCATTTACAAAATATTCAATTGAAAAAACAACAAGCATTCCTAAAATATTTTCTTGTTATTTTGCTGCATATTTAGTAGATCTACTGTTATTTATTTTTAAGTAGGGTAGTTATTTATGCTGCAAATTCACCGTCTAGACGTTTGTTTGACAAGACTGAAACTTCCGGATGCTACAGATACTTTCCTGAATAAAATGAGTTAAACATAGAAAGCAGATAGTGTTACAATGAGTTGGTAGGTTCATCAGAAAATAAACAAGCAGAGCAGCAAGTTTCTATTTACCATTTCCTCGCGTTTTTGTTTCGAACAGTCTAGTTGTTCAACAATTATAAAAATTATCAACATTTTTTTTATGAATTATCGAAGTCATCTCTTTAACGCCTATTTAATATACATATATTGAAGGGCCCGAATTTCAGGACCCCAATCAAACTTATATTTCCGAGACATTAGGCTCATCAATCAGATTATCTCCTTTCATTTTGGAAGAATTAAAAGATGGCAGTGACTATACTGTACATGCCAGTATATATAGCCTTACGTGAGTCACATACAACTAGCCTTTATGCACATTAAAGTCTGTGGGTCATTTTCCAGCGAAAGATAATGACAAAGTATTTTCAATAATTATAACTTGTATATAACACAGAATTTCCATTGGCTCACAAAAACTTAAATTAAAGGCGAATCTATTTCTGATAGATCTATCCGATATCTTGTCATTATATAAATGAACATCATCCGCAAAATTATGTAGAAAAATATACATGTTCATTCTTTGTGAAAAATATAAGACGTGCCAGTTACTGACTTAATCATTGAATTTATTTATTATTGAATAAATGCCAGACAGCTAGCCTCAAGAGTGTGTATAGGCATGACTCATGTACAGTTTTGGTTTAGCAGTACAAGCCTGTATGGCTAGCCACTTCCATTAAAGATACATTATCAATAATTGTTGTTTTTTTCTTCAAAACATTTGTTATGATTTTATGCTGATTATTAATGTAATAACCTTTTTTGAAACATTTCTTCTCAAATTATTTTTTCAAAAGGTAACTGAAACTTGGCAGTAACTGATACACGGTATCATAAACCAACACCTGTTTGAATTGATCAAGGTCAGGCAGGGTAACATTGTAGCTGGTTCTGAAGCGTGATACAATGGGTAGGGGGATGAGAATTTGTGTAAGAGAAAGGGGTGCATATGTCTAGTAAGCATTTATAGGGATTTTATAGTTTGGATGCTAAGGCTAAGTTCTACATGTATGTGGTGGTAATTTTTGAAAAACTAAAATTTAAGATGGTGACATGGCGATTTTGTTCCTTCTTTGTTTTGGTAAGAAAGTGCTTCATATTAAAGGACTTAAAAGTAAGACAAAGTAATCTTTTGGCAGCCCTGAAACCAGACATAAAGGAAGAAAAAGAAATCACTCGTTTTACAACAATAGAATCTATATGTACATGTAAGACAGTGTTGTAAAATGTAATATATTTCTTTCCCAGGAATCCTTTCAGTCGTCACGGGGGAGCAAAGAAAAGTGTTGTGTCTCGTCAGGAAGAGAGAGAACTTGAAAGAGAAGTGAAAAAATTAGATGAGTGAGTTAATAAGTTGTTCTATTGTTTTATTGTTTTATTAAACTTCAACTTTTTAAACTGCTGCATTTTTGTCATTTATAAAGCTTTGAATGTGGAATCATACACCATTTGTAAAGGGGAATTGCATTCCCAAAATCCAAAATTGACAATAGACGCTACAGGACAGGTTTAGTCTGTCTACAGGTGCAGCACAACCAATTGTCTGCATTGTCCAGGGTATTCCACAACCTGTACGGAGAAGTGGAAATTTTCAAGAATTGACTTTACAAATAAGTCAAATATCATCAGATAAGTTAAGAAATGATTCAAATACAAATGGACAAGTTAGTTAAAATCAGATTTTGCCAGCCCTGAGCCAGAGGGCATAAAGATCAATGGTTCTATCTAGATACATTTATGTAACTTTTCTAGGATGGAATAATAGCTCATAGAGCCATGTAGTTTTTTAATTCATTCACCTTGTAAGCAAGGTTTGTAAACATTTAAATCTCACTTGGTATGTCAAATTGTTATATGAGGTAACCATCCAGGTTTAATATTAAAGTACAGAAATTCTAACTAGATACCTATGTGTACCTAAAATGATGCACATTGTACAGTTATGCAGCTTGAATCTCCCTGTACATCTGAATATGACAATAAAAACTCTTTCCCCTTGTCCCTATGACGTCAAATCTTTATTGAGCAGTGGCTACAATATGGAGTTAAATGATTTATGATTGTATTATTACTTTTAGATTGGATGAAGCATCAAGGAGACTTTACAAAGATGGTAGGAGGTATATAGATGCAAATAATGGTAAACACAACTCTTTTTTTTTCCAATTAAAGCATAAATTTAATGTTCTTTTATTACAATTTACATAGACTTCACATATGATTAGTTTAGTTTAGGGGTGTAATCGATTCAATCGATATCGGTGTATCAACGATCTTTCTTATCCGATTCGATATCGATTCCATTTTTTAAATATCGGATATCAAATGCACACATATTTCTAGCTAAAGAGACTTCAGCAAACAGGTATTCTAGTACTGATAGACCAAACGTCAAAATAAAAGCGACATAATAAAGTTATGGAAGCCAGAACTAACATAATTATTTCAATCATTTATTTTCTAAAATGAAAACGCAAATAAACACCAGAGTTACCTCCCAGTGTCTCTAACGAATGCTGCTGAATTTCGTTATAATCTCCCATGTCTGCTAAGTGGGGGTCAAGACCCCCCAATTCAGATTTTTAAAACGGAAAATGCCAAGAAAATTTTTGTAAGTGTTTCTTTGTAAAAATTATGATAACATTATGTTAATTTTAATAATTATTCCGGTTCTAAACATTATAATTTTATAATTTGCCAATTAAACACCAACTTACTTATGGAACGGCAAGGACGACATTTAGCATAATCCGTAACTACATGTACGTAATAGCAACAACAACAACAAAAGTAAAATGGAAAAGGTTTTAAACATTATTATTACTAGTCATTAGCTGTCATTAAAAGTTATAATGATAAAAAAGAAATAAGTTGTTCACTTTTCATGGTTTATTTATTTTTGTGCATGTGTTTAAATATAACTGCATATTAATTATTGAAACAAATTAAAAAAGACTTGAAAGCTTAATTTTGCCTGGCAATCGATATATTGCTGTATCGCCGATGATTCATTACCGATATATCGATACAAAAATCCTTATAGATGACACCCCTAGTTTAGTTGATTTTATTTCTTGAATAATCCCCCCCCCACTTAATTGTTATATATCCCATTGCTTTGTTTAGAATTTATTTATTTTTGGGCTTGTTTTTAGCTCACCTGACCACGAAGTGGTCATGGTGAGGTATAGTGATGGGGCTATGTCCGGCGTCCGTCGTCGTGCGTTGTGCGTCGTGCGTCGTTCGTCGTCAACAATTGGGTTGTTAACAGTCTAGCAGTCACAGTTTTGATTGGATCATCATCAAACTTTGTCAGAATGTTTGTCTCAATGAAATACAGATCGAGTTCGAAGATGGGTTATCTCGGGTCAAAAACTAGGTCACAGGAGCTAAAAATAGAAAAAGCTTGTTAACACTCTAGAGGCTGCAGTTTTCATCCAAATATTCTGGAAATTTGTCAGGAAGGTTGTTTTGATGATATCTAGGTCAAGTTCGAAGATGGGTCATCTCCGGTCAAAAACTAGGTCACAGGAGCTAAAAATAGAAAAAGCTTGTTAACACTCTAACAATTGGGTTGTTAACAGTCTAGCAGTCACAGTTTTGATTGGATCATCATCAAACTTTGTCAGAATGTTTGTCTCAATGAAATACAGATCGAGTTCGAAGATGGGTTATCTCGGGTCAAAAACTAGGTCACAGGAGCTAAAAATAGAAAAAGCTTGTTAACACTTTAGAGGCTGCAGTTTTCAACCAAATACTCTGGAAATTTGTCAGGAAGGTTGTTTTGATGATATCTAGGTCAAGTTTGAAGATGGGTCATCTCGGGTCAAAAACTAGGTCACAGGAGCTAAAAATAGAAAAAGCTTGTTAACACTCTAGTGGCTGCAGTTTTCATCCAAATATTCTGGAAATTTGTCAGGAAGGTTGTTTTGATGATATCTAGGTCAAGTTCGAAGATGGGTCATCTGCGGTCAAAAACTAGGTCACAGGAGCTAAAAATAGAAAAAGCTTGTTAACACTCTAGTGGCTGCAGTTTTCATCCAAATATTCTGGAAATTTGTCAGGAAAGTTGTTTTGATGATTTCTAGGTCAAGTTCCAAGATGGGTCATCTTCGGTCAAAAACTAGGTCACAGGAGCTTAAAATAGAAAAAGCTTGTTAACACCCTTAGGGCTGCAGTTTTCATCCAAATATTCTGGAAATTTGTCAGGAAGTTTGTTTAGATGATATCTTAGTTAAGTTCGAAGATGGATCATCTCTGGTCAAAAACTAGGTCACAGGAGCTAAAAATAGAAAAAGCTTGTTAACACTCTAGTGGCTGCAGTTTTCATCCAAATATTCTGGAAATTTGTCAGGAAGATTGTTTTGATGATATCTAGGTCAAGTTCGAAGATGGGTCATCTCCGGTCAAAAACTAGGTCACAGGAGCTAAAAATAGAAAAAGCTTGTTAACACTCTAGTGGCTGCAGTTTTCATCCAAATATTCTGGAAATTTGTCAGGAAAGTTGTTTTGATGATTTCTAGGTCAAGTTCGAAGATGGGTCATTTCCGGTCAAAAACTAGGTCACAGGAGCTAAAAATAGAAAAAGCTTGTTAACACTCTAGTGGCTGCAGTTTTCATCGAAACATCCTGGAAATTTGTCAGGAAGGTTGTTTTGATGATTTCTAGGTCAAGTTCGAAGATGGGCCATCTCCGATCAAAAACTTGGTCACAGGAGCTAAAAATAGAAAAAGCTTGTTAACACTCTAGTGGCTGCAGTTTTCATCTAAATATTCTGGAAATTTGTCAAGAAAGTTGTTTTGATGATTTCTAGGTCAAGTTCAAAGATGGGTTATCTCCGGTCAAAAACTAGGTCACAGGAGTTAAAAATAGAAAAAGCTTGTAAACACTCTAGTGGCTGCAGTATTGAGTCAAATATTCTGGAAATTTGTCAGGAAGGTTGTTTTGATGATTTCTGGGTCAAGTTCGAAGATGGGTCATCTTAGGTCAAAAACTAGGTCACAGGAGCTAAAAATAGAAAAAGCTTGTTTACACTCTGTTGGCTGCAGTTTTGATTCAAATATTCTGGAAATTTGTCAGGAAGGTTGTTTTGATGATTTCTGGGTCAAGTGCTAAGATTGGTCATATCCGGTTAAAAACTAGGTCACAGGAGCTAAAAATAGAAAAATCTTTTTAACACTCTTGTGGCTGCAGTTTTGATCCAAATTTCCTGGAAATTGGTCAGGAAGGTTGTTTTGATGATTTCTAGGTCAAGTTAAAAATATATGGGTCGTGTCCGGTCAAAAACTAGGTCACATTGCCCAAATATGGAAAAATCTTTATAACACACTAGAGGTCACATGTTTGACTCAGTTGTCATCAAACTTGGCCATGATGCTTGTTTAAGACATTGCTTGGATGCGGTTGTGTCAGGTGAGCGATCCAGGGCCATCATGGCCCTCTTGTTTTGTATTAGTACATGTATCTCTGAAATTATCATATTTCATAGTTATCTAAGTATGTAACTTAATTGTTCATCACTTTGATGTAGGGTTAGGAAAGGCTGAGAACAAGATTGTACAAGACTTGATGAGCAGTGGGATCTGTCAGACAGACGAACAGTTTCAGCGACATATACTTACATGGGAGAGGGCCATCGAGGATCTAGGCAGATATAGACAGGAACTGGTAATGTTTATTGAATATCTCAAAAATCAAAGTTCAAAAGTTTCAAAAGTTGAATTACAAGCCTCACATGAACTGTGTTTTCTGGGAGTGGCAATCATCACCAGTCTTTGCTACCAGTATATAACTTTAAAAAAGTCTATACCACATTAGTAAATGTGTATATTTAGGTAAGCTTGCAAAAACACTTACAGTCTGACTTGCCTCAATCTGTTGACTGAATTTTAAGGGTATGAAATCTCTGTCAATATCCTTAACATCTGCTTTTCTCCTATAGATACTTTTAAAGTCAGGGATCTCTGATTTAAAAAAGAAAGGTCTCTAAAAAAACTAATGAAAATTCAGCCCAATTTTAATTATGATTCAATTGTAAATACAAATGTAAGTTATATATGGCTTTGCATTGTCTAATTAATAATTCTAAAACCATTGTGAATGTTTTGATATATCTAGTTACTTACAGGTTTATTTTTGTTTTTCCAGAATACCAATATTCAGAAAACTATGGTAGAACCAATGAAAAAGTAAGTAAATGTATCGGGCAATATTGATAACTTGCCATTTACAGTGTCTGTGTAACTTAAAGTCCAAACAGATTGAAATTTTACTTAGAAGGTTCTCTTACTTCAACTCAGTCAGAAATTTTCACTTTTAATAGGTTTTACATACAAGTATCTCCAAATTGATTGTACAATTATTTTGAAAATTAAATTGCATTCTGTATTTAGTTGAACTAGTTTAACTATAGTAGTTTTAGCCAAAGTTTGAAAGGCAAAGAAGCTTCATTGAGGAAGGCGCCTTTAGCACTAGACCACTGGTCCCTTACTAATTAATGCATTGTTTACCAATTAGTTGGTGGTATGGTCTAGTCATTTATTGGATTCACAGGAATCATCAGTGCTTAAATATATTTGTCTTTCACTGTTTTAGAAATCAGGTAGGATTAGTTGTCATTCACTTGTGGATAAATTGGTAATTACTGGATAGTTATGCAGGAAAACTGGTTCGGTGCACAGACCACCAAAATTAAATATGTCCAAGAAAAGGTTAAAATCAGGGAAAAAAAGCAAACAACAATTAATACATTGTATAAATGAACAAATACATGAATAACATGTTTTCTGGTGACCAATACATAGTCATCATGAGTTTATTGTCATAAATTTATTTTTAGATTCCAATTATATTCATACACTTACATGTACATGTATATTTAACATGTAACATAATATATAGTGTTGTGTTTCCATAATGTTCTTAATACATGAAGTAACATTATTTCTTGTAGATTTAGTGGTGTATTTCCTAGTGTTCAAAGTGCAATAAAGAAGAGGGAGCAAAGTCTGCAGGACTACACCAGAACTCAGGCCAAATATAACAAGTACCAGGATAGAGATAGGACTGGACAAAACATTGTCAAGTTAGATACTGTAAGTATACATATATACGAGGGGTTATCCAAAAATTCATGGACTTCCTTTGTTGCGTAAAATATTAAAGGTATTGATTTGAAATTCTTACAGTGCTTAGAAGAATAAATAACAAATAAACACTGAAAAATTCATGTCAGTATCTTTTTATATTACAACACTATTTAATTTTACATAAACACATGTCGGCGACAGCAGTGCACTCCAAAAAATTATTGAAGTCAAGGTCATAATATTTAACGTACAACTTATGCTTCAAAGTAACACAGTCAATAACCGTTACCCCTTCTCAAAGTAATGTCCATCACTAATTTTTATGCAACTTACACACTAATTATCGTGAAATTTTATTTTCTCCGTTCGCCTGCTGATTTTTTTTCAAATGTTTTTGTAGGTGTCGTTCCCAAATTACAACAAAATTTTATGATCACGCTATTTTCTAATTTCTGCGTGTCCGTCATTTTCCCGTTGTAAACATTATCATTGTCTGGCGTTTCTGGCGATTTCAACAAAAAATTAACAGAAATGACTTCCATAATACTAAAGAATTATGTAAATGACATCATAGAAGAAACATGCGATGTTTAGCGGGTTTTCTATGTTAATAAGTAGTTTTTTAACAAAAAATATACAACGACTAACTGCGCTTTTCTGCCGGGTGCCGTGCATGTGCTTATTTAAAAGCAATATAAAATCAATATTCATTGACGCAGTTAACTGTTCCTTTCAAAACGTGTTGATAATATTCTACAAGGTATGCTGATAAAATTTCATTACAATACACGGTGACGTTCAATAGATATTTAAAAAGTTCACGAATTTTTGGATAACCCCTCGTATATATATAAACATAAGAGTGAAATGATTGCTCGCAGTTATGCTGAACCACAATTCAGAGCTGACGATTTGGTTTAAACAAATTTTTTTAAGCTTGATTACAAAACAAGTTCTTGCAACTTATATTAATCACTTTCGAGTCCGCTTCCTGGAACCAACCAGAACTGGTGTCATATGAAGAAACATGGTTGTGACCTGATTAGGTCTCGAACCCATGATTCCTGGATTGAGGGGTAGAAACCTTACTCGCAGTCACCAGGCCAGCGCTCCCATTAAGAGCTTGCAATTTGATTCTGGATTCCTCATGGCTACATTCCATTTGATTTATTGTCACCATTTTTGTTAAAATATCTTATTTTCGATATTAATCAAACATTTTCAAAGGAAGGGTTTCTTTCATTGGTTATGTGTTTTGGTATATCCAATGAGTACTCGGATAATCATGAATCAAAATTAAAAATCGAGTATGAATATTCATCAGTCCAGAGATCGTGGATCGCGATCTTATTTGTTTATTATACAATTGCTGTTTCTCACACTTAAAAAATTGAAAAAATTACAATTAGAGTATGTATTATGAGACGTTTACCTAAATAAAATTTAACATGTACCATGACTCTGAGCTAGGAAGCCATTAGTTTATCTTTATTGAGCACTATGATTTTACATGAAAAAAATATTTAAGTCGCTATTTATAGATTTATAATAACGTGACATGTACCGAAGACGGTTTTATTTTTAATAATCCAAAATTTGCGAAACGTTAATATGTCAGTGTGACGTCACACATCCTGTTTGAAACATTGGCTGAAAAGGAGTCACGACGATATACAATTCCACCTTCCAATATTTGGAAATATCATTTTCAGTTGAAATACAGTCAAACTTGTATTAAACGACTGCGCAAGGGAAACACCCAAAATGGTCGCTTAATGAAACGGTCTCTTAAGACAAAGCATGACGTAAAAGTCAAAATTTACAAATGAAATCTTTCTTATGCGGTGGGAATGTTTAACAACTTCATTTTTATATAAATGTTGAATAATTAGTACGCTCGATAATCTGTAAAAAATAACTTTCTGTTATTTATTTACAAAACAGTTTTGATCCATAACGTACATGTTTGACATTTTTTCCAGACTTTTTTTAACTTCTCCGTTGCTTTTCCTTGTCTCCAACACGAATACCCTATTAGTGAGGATGTTTTTTTCTGTTGTGCATTTTTTATTCGAAATAAACAAAATACATCCAATTTTATTGCTGATCAAGTTCAAGGTCATTCAATGCAGTCTAACTGTCAACAAGCGAAGCGTATACACCACATCAGTAGGGGCGGAGCGTTACATTGTTTAATCGTTATTATTGGATAATACACGTCACGCGTATACTGCTTACGCTAAAACGGTTTGGGAAATAGAGCTTTTCACACATTTATTTGTTGTGTTTTGATTGTTGACACTTGTGAAATTACCAGGCGGCCTTCTCTAAAAACACAATTACATGACAGGTAAAAGTGGTCGTTTAATGAAAAGATTGCTCTCAATTAGGTGACTAATTAGCGGTCGCTGGTCGCGTTGAGCAAAAGTCGCTTAATACATTAAAAATATAGAGAGAAACTGATCGGGGGGAAATTAAAGTGGTCGTTTAAGACAAAAGTCGCTTAATACACGTGGTCGCATGGGCAAGTTAGACTGTACCAGAGTATTTCCAAACATTGGAAGTAAATTTTGCTGGTGGAATTTTATATTGTTGCGACTGGTTTTTAACCTTTAAACCTAGTTTATATTTGCATATACAGTATGTTTGAAATTATTAAAAAAAAACAATAAACATGTTTTCAGAAATAATGTTCATGTTTTTATGGGTGTCTTGAATCTCTTGATAGCAAAAGATTCGTGGTTTGATTTGTGGATCGCAAGTGGTGAATCTTGGATCGGATCGCATCGTCACTTATCCGATGATCCACATCCCTATTTGGCATGTAGCATAACCTTGTGATCCATCACAAAAATTATGAAAATCATTCCCCTAGAGTCAAAACACACCCAGCCTTGAGGTCACTTAGTTTATTATAAGACTGACAGTCTTAATTCAGACTTGTATAGGAAAATCATTGACAAACAAAATGTGATCTCATTACTGACTTTAACATTTAAAAATGAAAATTGTAACCTTTTTTAGCAATGTATCATGGTGAGCCATCCAGGGCCATCTTGGACCTGTTGTTCAACTTGTTAAACTCTCAAATCTGAAGGCTATCAGGAGTCAAGTGTTGTGTATTTAATCTAAATATTTTTGATAAAAAATGTTTGGTTGAACTTAATTAAAGTTTGAAATAACAAAACAACAAACAGCCTGAAAGAACTCTATAATAATTTGATTAATTTCATACTCCGCATTTATCGTATTATTATCAATTTTTCCATAATGATTTAACAGTTATGTTTTATATCTTCCTGAAATGTAATGTAAACACTATTCTCACTTAAATAAACAACTTAAAACTGTTTTTGTTGAATTTTAAAGTATATAAATTATATATATTCCAGAACAAGAAAGCCCTTGACACTGCAAGAGATGAGTTTAAATCACAAGATGTTGCTGTAAGACAGGATCTACCACGTCTGATAGATGGCAGGTTGGAATACTTTAAACCCACGTTTGACGCACTTATTCGTTCACAACTCAACCATAGTACAGAAGCCTTTAAAACATACGCTGAAGTTTCCTCGGAGCTGTTTCTCGATTCAAAACTAACAGAAAGTGAGCGTAAAGACAGGATCAATCAGACATTAAGTGATATGAAAGCGTTGTCAATAACAGTTGATGATTAAGTCTTTACTTATGTGATTTATGTACTTAATTTGTCTACAGCTTTAAATACAGAGAAATCCATTGTTAGCTTGAGGTATTTCAAAATTAGTATTGTACTTTGTGATTTTGAGAGATTTCAGATTTGAATTCAGACCTGTATATTGTGATATTTGAAAGATTTCAGGGTTTAATTTGGACATGTCCATTGCAGGTTTAAGGGATTTTAACATTTAAAGTACAGTCATGTCCGGTGATCTTGCGCGGCCGGTGATCTTGCGCACTCGGAATGTCCTTCGTTTGATTGTTTGTTTATGCTGTCGCTAGAAATTTTCAGCCAAAATTTGTGACTTAGACTTACTTTGAGTTATAACAAGGTAAGAAAGTTAAAAAAATATCTGTCAAACACGTTTGTTTACATTATTTCGTCATCCTAATTATTTATTCATAAACACGCCCACTGACCTATTTTCCCATTATATTCCTGTCTATTCAATCAGTTCCAAAATGTTACGTCCAGCAAGAATGAAAATCAATATCACACATTTTAAAACAGTATTGCACCGATAAAACGTTGTAAATTTCCTTTTTTCCCTTTGCAAATAAAGGTGTGCAGTTGTTATCTCCAGCCGATTCCCGCCATCTTGTCACAATGTAAAGCCCCTCCCGCGCTTTTCATTTTCTTCTACGGAAGCGTAAAAGGATCTAGACAAGAGCATTTAATTTGTTAACTGGGGGTGTTGTACTGTGTGTAGTCAGTGCATCTGAAATTCTGTACAGAAATTGAGACATTGACTGGTAGTGATGATTTCAGGTGTCCCAGGTGTAGATCTAGTAGTGAACAGTAAAATAACAAACCCTTGATGTAAATAAGTTTGTGTTACAGTTTTGTTTGAACAGTTTAAATTAACTTTTCATTAATTGGACTCACAAAATTTATATTGAAAGCACTACTGGGACACCATACTTTAAAACAAGCTACCGTTACGTCATTCATAATACATGCGCAAGATCACCGGAAAATTGAATGTTGGGATTAAACATGGTGGTAAGTGTTTACATTGTTGCAATTCTGCAGTTAATTGAGTTATTTACAAAAAATATTTGTGTCATTAAATGTCTTTAAGATTTTTGCAAATAGGAAAATAATTTTGATTTTTTTGTATTTATTTGAATTGTAGTAAATAAGCCGATAAGTATTTAGGTGCGCAAGATTACCGGACAGCATCGTACTAAAATTGTGCAGCTGACTGTATCATCTTGTCAGTTTACATGGATTTGCCAGTTCTATACTCACTACATACACTAGTCAGTATTGTTTTTGAATGTCATCTAATTAAATTACACATTCTTAGAGTGATCACTTATGTAATAATTTATGTAATAATGTATATACACATGTATATATATTTATGAGAGGTCTTTGAAGTTATTGTGGATAAGAGAAATGTGTTGACTTGCTGTAACAGAAATCTTGTTAATAATTTTGAAAGTGTCAGATATAATTGATGTTAAAAACTTGTACATTATATTGTATGGTTTTAATTTGTAGGTACTAACAGTATATTCCTACTTCATATATTTGAGGATTTACAAAACAAAAACTTGTTAAAAGGAAGCACATTTTTATGAGACTTCGAAGGAAAATGTTTCGATTTGAAGCATTGATCAGTCACATTTTACACTTGCCCCTCACCTCTGTGGGTTCGAATCCAAACAGGGAGTTTGGATTCTTTCATGTGAGGAAGCTATCCAGCTAGCTTACGGAACATCGGTGGTTCTACTCAGGTACTCGTTCGTGCCTGAAATAATGCACGGAAGGGCACTTGAGGTCTTCCTCCACCAGTAAAGCTGGAACGTCGCAATATGACCTATACTGTGTCGATGTAAGGTAAAACCCGAAACAAACGAACAAAAAAAATCATATTTTAGTAGATATTAAACTGTATTATTGTTCTGAAAGCAAAATAAAAATTCTGTGAGATTTAACATAAATTAAGATTACATTCTATGTTAGGAGTATTATTATATTTGTACGCTTCACATTGTTTCTATAAAAAAGAATTTTTCCACATATGCTAGTATAAGGTTTTATATGGCAGTCTGAAGTTACTATGTAGTTGGTCATAGTATTTCATAAGATTTTCATATTTCAATATAATTTATTCCATCCTAATTAGTTAATTATGATCCTGAATGGTGCATATACAAGATAATATACAATCATAATACAGAATACATAAAATCCTGGGACATTTGTGGCCGTGGGGTTATGGTCTCACGCCCCTCATGCAGTGGGTTCAAATCCCAACAGGGACTTTGGAATCTTTCATGTGAGTAAGCTATTTAGCTTGTTTACGGAACATCAATGGTTCTACTTAGGTGCCTACTTGTGTCTAAAATAATAAATGGAAGAGCGCCTGAGATCTTCCTCCACCAGTGAAGCTGAAAAGTTGCCATATGACCTATACTATAAAACCAAAGCAAAAAAACAAAACAACATAAAATTCTGTAGCACCAATTGCATTAAATGGATTTGATAGTCACATGTATATTACAAAATAAGCAGTGATTTGATGTTAAATGTGTATAGAATTATATATTAATTTATGTATTTAGTATTCACTTTTTTGAGATTATTTTTAATGGATTAATTTCGATGATTCTGAATCTTTCTGGCAACAGTGTTTAATTTGGTTAGCTTCTTTGACGCACAGTTCATAAATGTTGCCTAATGATTAATGGACTGTAAATTCTCGTTTCCTTTCCCAATCATGGAAAACTTTGTCTAGTTATCTACTCTGACTTTCCCAAATAATGAAAAATTTTCTCTAGTTACCTCCCCTCACATTCTCAAAATAATGCATATGATGGACTATTAGTATCTAGTTCTATTTACTGCAATAAAAAAAGCACATGGATCATGGCAGTTTGACACAAAACAATTGTTTCAGTTGTCTCAAAATTTTGGTTATCTGTGATATTTTAAGATGTGATACTAGTTTAATGTTGCATTTATGGTAGAAGAGAGTACTGAATCTTCTGATAATAACAATGTTAATTTGTGATTTCATTTTGGGAAGGACTATTTTTTTGTGTATATAATTACATTAATTACGCTTGAACAATAGGTTGCTCGAACCAACAGTGTCAACCTTTGTCACCAGTATAAATTTTTATACCAGGCCAGTGTGTATACCTGAGTAGTCTAACCAGGCTTTTTCTGAACTGTACCAACTCTATAAAGCCTGTCAAATCCATGACTATAATTTAGAGAGTTAATGGTTAAAATAGTAACATTTGAGATATATTTTATATAGATTTATGCATGTATATGCCCTAATTATTTTAAAACTGTCGATTCTTTATTTATTATGTTAAATATGTTTATCTGATGTCTTCATTTTTATAATAAATGACGTATGATGAAATATGCTGTAAAGTAAATATCAGTGTTTCTTTTGTTTGCACGCAATAGTGGAAGTTTGATTTAAAATTATTTTGGTAAGAAGACAAACGAAAATTTGACCATTAATAAGCTGATTGAGGATTGCTTTCGCTTCCCCACTGAGAGTTCGAATCCAGGCAAGGATTATGCATTATTTCATCTGAGAAAACTATAACTTGCTTACAGAAAGTCAGTGGTTCTACTTGGGTGCCCTCTTGTTATCCCCCGCCGAAAAGGCGGATAAAGAAATAGTCTCCGCCCTTCCATCTGTCCGTCCGTCCTGCCGTCCGACATTTTTGTCCAGAGCATATCTCAAAAAGTATTTGAGGTATCAACTTGAAACTTCATAGGTGGATAGACCTCATTAAGGAGGAGTGCAGTGCACAAGAATGATAACTTTACCCTGCATAATTTTTGAGTGATTGCCCTTTGTTATTTTTCAAAATTAATTTTTGTCCAGAGCATAACTCAAAAGGCCTTTTAGATATCAACATGAAACTTCTTAGGTGCATAGATCTCACTCAGGAGGTGTGCAGTGCATAAGAATGATAACTCAATCTTTCATAATTTTTGAATTATTTTCCTTTGTTATTTTTCAAACTTAATTTTTCACCTGAGTGGAGCATAACTCAAAAGTGTTTGAGATGTCAACATGAAATGTCATAGGTGGATAGATCTTATTGAGGAGGAATGCTGTGCACAAGAATGATAACTCTTCCCTATACAATTTTTGAGTTATTGCCCTTTGTTCTTTTTCATACTATTTTGTCCGGAGCTTATCTCAAAAAGTATTTGAGGTATCAACTTGAAACTTCATAGGTGGATGGATCTCATTGAGGAGGAGTGCAGTGCACAAGAATGATAACTCTACCCTGCATAATTTTTGAGTTATTGCCCTTTGTTATTTTTCAAAATTAATTTTTGTCCAGAGCATAACTCAAAAGGCCTTTGAGATATCAACATGAAACTTCATAGGTGCATAGATCTCACTCAGGAGGTGTGCAGTGCACAAGAATGATAATTCTACCTTTCATATTTTTATTAAATATTGCCCTTTGTTATTTTTCATACTTAATTTTTCACCTGAGTGGAGCATAACTCAAAAGTGTTTGAGATGTCAACATGAAATGTCATAGTTGGATAGATCTTATTGAGGAGGAATGCCTTGGTCAAGAATGATAACTCTTCCCTATATAATTTTTGAGTTATTGCCCTTTGTTATTTTATACTTTTTTGTCGGGAGCTTATCTCAAAAGTAATTGAGGTATCAACTTGAAACTTCATAGGTGAATAGATTTTACTGAGGAGGGGTGCAGCACATAAGAATGATAACCTACCCTGCATTATTTTTCAGTTATTGCCCTTTGTTCTTTTCAGCTATCAGTATTCACATAGGTTTCGAATCTGTTATCACTTCAGCCATCAGTTTTCATTACCAAAAGACCTTAAAATTGAATTATTCTGCTCTACTACATATACATTCTTCCAATGAGCAAACACTTTCGGCGGGGGATGGCCATGTTGATATGGCTCTTGTTGCTGATAAAAACTGTTCAACAGAAGGGCATTGCAGGAAGACTACGTTCATTTGTATTTATTTCAAAATACATGTTTCAAGATTGACACTGCTATACGGTCATGACCACATATAATTTACATGTATTTTCATATTGTATGGTTTCATGGTCGATATTTGTTGTTGAATTACTCAAATTTTATATGACGATGCGGGTTATAATTAGTCCGTCTGCGGTAAATCCCCGGAGCGGTAAATTCTCAAAGATACTTG